CTGAATATCGGTAGATAGACAGGTACAGGTATTGCAAATGAATAGCCCAGAAATAACGGAGCCGGTGGAAACCAATGATGTGATTGCGGTTGGCACCAGTAGAAGAAATACGGAGTTGAATCCTGAAGATATTTCAAGGTTAGTTGTTTTAAATCTGATTAAATGATCTTCTGACCATCCGAAAAATGTCTTCGGTTATTATTAGCTTGTGGTAAATATTATCAGATTGCCATAAGGTTGTTTCAAACTTGCTTCAGCGTTTGATGTAATTAGGTTATTTAATGATGATTTCTCGAGAGACTTATGATTATTCCCATGGCAAATACATTTTCAGTGCTGCACAACGTTATATTGCTGCGTGCAACAAGAACGTCATTTCAATTGCATTGGAATACGCTCAGCGAAAGAAGTTTGAATTCAAACTGGAAATCGTTCAAAATTATGCAAAGTGAGTGAAATTGAAAGTATTGATGACTGGTGTGAATTTCAGTGATTGATTGTAATGAGTGCGTTTTTATGATTTTATCATTGTAGATGGAGATGCGCTATTCCATGTTGTGCTTCAAAAAGTCCGTTTATTTCAGTAGGTTTCAATGTTCAACAGTTATTGACGATATCAAATTCAGTGGTCTTTGGTGTTCCTCGAAGCAAAAAGCCAAAGTATCATGTTGTCGAATTGTAATCGATCATTTGGTTACGGTGAATTTTTTGAATATCCGATGTTTGAAATTAATTGCCCATTAGCAGTAAATTAACGAACCATCCATTCGGATACACTAATTGTGGAAAAATAATTATTTACTTGCGAGCCTAATGTGATTGGTTTTAATAAAGTATGGACGGTTATAAGTTCTAGGTGATGATGTCAGACTAATAGAACGTAAATCATTTGCAATAGTAGAGCATCATTTGTTGTAGTGATTTCGTTTTGAAAATTTGTGGTGTGAAAATACTGAGAGAGAGGAATTTCATTATTTTTACAGAACATTTGATATGAGTTTCATGTTCAATTTATAAACAACATCAATGATTTCAGTGTGACAGAATGGAGGCGAAGACAGAAAATAAAATCGATGAGGATCAACCTCAAGCGGTCAGTCGTTTGAGCTTTCATTTTTCAGTGATTGCATTATTACTCTACGAATTTCATCGAGCAAAATGTCGTTTGATGGTGATGCAGTTATGAGGGTCATAATTGTGGAACATTGAAAGAGCAGAATATTGGCTTTGTTGCATGTGAGGACAGATAACTGAATATCGGTAGATAGGTAGATACAGGTATTGCAAATGAATAGTCCAGAAATAACGGAGCCGTTGGAAACCAATCACATTAGGCTAGATATCACCGTGAGTTAATTATTCTTTTTTCTTCATTCGATTGTTTGGCTGGTTTATAAGAGTTAATAGGAATTTGATATTTTTATTGCTCATAGACGTAAGCTACTCATTAATTTTGAGTCCAACAATGATAAAAAACAAACAGAAATATCAACGAAAGATTCGGTTTTCCGAACAGAATTGGCCGATTCTCTTTGAGGTTCATTGCTTTATAGTTCATTCGAATAAAGGTTTCTATTGATATCGATGTTTTGATATTGAATTTTCAGTGGTGTGCAATATTCAATTGCACATTGACGAATTGCATTCAGTCGAATCTGAAGTACCCACATAAAATTGCTTATGTCATCATCATTTTCATCGTCCAAATAATTTGATCGTTTATTCGTTAATTTCGAAACTATTGTTTAGAGAAATGTCTCGGAATATTCATTTGAAATATTTCGTTTAGATTTCAAAGGCATGTTACACTGCACCTTTGTGTTTGGAACATTGTTTTAATCTCCTTGAATATCGTTTTCCAGCGAAGCGCAGCAGTACATTTGGGAAAGTGGCAAAAATGTGATATCTCTGGTGCATGAATACGCAGATCGAATGGGATTAGAAAAGAGATTCTTTGAAACAAGTTCACTAAGGTAATCTCCTCAAGATAAAATCACACAGGAATACAATGATGTTCAGGAATTTGATCAATCATTAGCAATCGATTACGTGCTAGGTTACTGCGTTTTTAAATTCGAGTGATTTTGAGCATAGCACAATTCATCAGCTGATTACTTTGCTTATGGTCCCAATGCAGCATTTTCATTCAGAAATTCAAATCGTTTACCAGATTTTCTTTTGCGATTACGAGTTATTCGATTGACTTTGAACAGTTTGGAAAATTTGAACTTTTTTTCTTAGTTGTAAAATTTTCAGCGGATTTCAATATTCCTTCACGATCGGTGAATCGAAATTAACTGGTTTGCAGTGCTCCTCGAAACGTGCTGCAAAAGTGTCGTGTTGTCGTGTCGTTATCGACTACTTGATAAAGGTGAAGTTTATTCGTTGTCATTGCATCCCTTCTTATCATTGAATCATATTTCTTCACAAGTGAACGGCTGTGAATTGAGCAGGCAATTGTTGTTTTTTTTTGAGCAGAAGTTCATTTTTCAGAATAAGAATCTCTTACTTTATCTCCTGGGAAACTCTGCAGTTGAACTTTACGCTACGTGATGTAAAGGTCGTTTCAAAAATGAAATATTGATATTATCGTTTGAGATGTTCGAGTGACTTGGTTGAATCGAATGTGTTTCTTTGATTAGCGTTGTACTGTTGTCGTATTTATGATTAATTTTATTCCAGAATAAAAAAATCCATATCGGAGCTACATGTGAGGATGGTATTGAAATAAAGAATAGTATTTTTGAATATATGCAATGGACAGTTTACTCAACTGTGAATCGTGAGTGTTTTCTTCATCCTCAAATTCAAGGATCTGAAAAGGTGAATTTGTTGATTAGTTTGATTTCGTTGATTTTTATTCTTCCCTTCAAATTATCTTATCATTATCAGGATCGTTTACAGAAGGCATGCTTCATGTAATATTTCATTGTATCATGCTAAGTTTCTCTTTCACTTTCAAATAGCTTTTCCCGGTTTCTGTGCAACCATTGTTGTATACTGTCGACTTTGAAGTGAAATCTGTAAGATGTCAAAACGGAGATGTGATTGATATTATGATCATAATTACAATAATGTTAGTTATCGTCATTCTTATTGTTGCTATCAGTTGTTGATTTAGGTAATAGCTGGTATATTCATGTTGGATATGAACAAAAACAAATGTTATTTGATCTCTTGGGCGACAGGTAATAAATGTGTAAATGGTGAGGCTTTATCAACGAGGGGCGAAACGGTTAATGATTCACATGCTGAGATTCTTAGTCGTCGTGGTTTACTGAGGTGAGATGGAGATGAAACTCCGATTGCAAATTTCAGCTTCTTCATTCTTTATCGTCGCCCATTGCTTTGTTTTTCTTTTTCGGTATTTTTTCGATTGATTACTCTTTATAAGTGAATTATGAATTGTGATGCAATGATTTTGTTGTGCATTCTTCGCTTTTATTATGAATAATGAAGTGACCCTAACATCGCATACCACTCACTACCTGCATCATGGACTGTGCATTTTTGCGTTTAGAAATGATGAGCATAAGTTGTCGCTGTAATGATAAGCCTTCAATTCTCCTCCCAACTCCCGCCTTCATCGGTTTGGTGACGATGTGAACAGAGCAAGANAAATTTGATAATAATTCGTTTTGTGAGTATTACAATTTTTAAGACAACTGTTATACATGTTCGTTTGTATTTCGAGCATTCAAATTGCACGTAGATATACTCATAAGAAACGTGAATGAACACTTTTAAAGATTTCTGTATAAACAAGTCGAAGTGTATCTGTTAGATGAACAGAAGTCAATATTCAAAATCGAAAATGGCACGCTCTCGTTAAGACCGTCGCTTTCGTTCCATCTTTACGTGAACACGGCGCCTTGTGGTGATGGACGCGTTTTTTCATTCGCATCGGAGGTTTCTGAATTGGTATCGTATTGTCTTCACAAAGCATCGTTTTTCTTTATCATAAATAAATTATTGTTATAAGTATTGTAACTGATTATTAATGCTGGTATCTTAGTAGAGTCGCTAAAATATTGACAATATTAAAATTGATTGTTAACTTCCTTTTTCCATTAAAACTGCAAAAAGTTTTAGGACTTTGGGAATGGTTCATTACATCGGCCAATATTCGACAAACACAAAGGCACTTTACGGACGAAAATTGAATTTGGTAATACTTTTCACTGAAATATATTTGTGAGCAAACAGGAACGCACTGATTCGACACAATATTTGTGAAATGATAAAGTATTGTGGATGTGATTGTGCTTAAAGCGATGAGAATGCGATGTGTCGATTATCAGTCGAAAGATTTTAACACTGAACTTGAGTAGTGTTAAGGTGAGGGTACCGTACCAATTCCGTCCGAAATTCGTCTACAAACAATGGACGGTATTTATGGTGGTGAGCGATTGAGAACAATGTCGTGTAGTGATAAAATCCTCAAGTGGAACGCGCTTGGACTGCAGGTATTGTACTATTTGCCATTTTGTTGCGACTTTATTGACAATATCAAAACTGATTGTTGACCTTCTTTTTCCGTTCAAACCTGCAAACATTTCTGAGCGTGTAGAATTTCATTACTGAAATTTCTGGATTTGTTTAAGATTTACGCATTCTTTAGTGTTCATTTGACAGCCATATTTTAAGGTTATTTACCAGGCGTCCAATGAACAAATTTAGTAATTAATGCTTTATTAATTGATAATTTATTCTTTTATTCATGGTCTCTTGCTCGAATGTCTTCTCATTTCAATGCAATTTACACATGTAATGATTTATTCTATCAAATATTGCTACTGGAATCTTGAACAATTGGTGATTGCGAGTAGTTGAGTGAATATTCGGAATTCGTAATTTTTTCTACAATTAAGGGTTGCCTTCTAACGGCGTTTATGCGTCCAATCTATTTGCGTTCGCTGACCATAAATCAGTTGTTTCATTATGGACATTTATCACGTTCGATATGCTGCCGATTGGATGCTCAAAAGCTGAAGTTGTCCGAACCATTCACTGTGAATCATCCGTATTTGGCCAGTTGCGGAAAGGTTTTTGAAGATTTGATTTATTTTTTGATCATTTTTGTCACTACGCTTCATTTATATCACAACATTTTAGTTTGTACAATAAAACATTTTTAGTTTTCAGTATGAATATATTTCAAAATAATATTATTTTTGTATGATTCTGCTATTTTGTTTGTAATGAATTGAGACTGTGCATTTCAGATGCCTTCTGATCGTAAAATAAGGAAAAATACGTTGTTGGCAGCGAATTGGAATTTGAGCGATGATAGTGTTGAGATTATAAACTCACGAACAGGAAGAATCCATCCGTCGGGGTTCGTCTTTTTAACGTGTTCTATTGGAATCCAATTCAGTCGAATGGATTTCTGAATTCGAATTGATTAGCTCACTGCATTTTCATTGCTTTGTTGCCATATGAACACTTTGTTATATGCCGTAAAAGTTCAGATCCATTGAACACATTTTCTTGTTGTCTGTTTGTGTTCTTTATTGAACTGAATTCGTTTAAAGAGTTTGACGAGCAAATAAGTTCAGTCACTTTCATGAATGTCTCAGTTGTTCGTGTTCGCATAGCCAACGACATATTGTACTTAGCTTATGATTGTTACTGTTCTTATGATCACGACAGTATCTATAGTCTCTTTGATGCGAATGAATAACAGTCTGGTCGGTCACATGTATGTTGTTCCTTTATACGGATTGATCATTTTTCAGCGACATTTCACGATTGTGCAAACGTTCAATGTACGAATGTTTTGTCGGAATTGAGCAAAAAGTTCGAACTAAGAAATCGAGAACTCCATCGAATGAGACGTATTTGCGGAAGAAAGAACGATGTCACCAATACATGACTGCCAGAGATCGCTTTTTCATTGCGTTGAAAGAGAGTGGATACGGATGTTGGCTGCAGAAACCGGATGAGGAGAAAATGTTCAGATTGGGCGATTAACTTTTGTTGTTATTGTTTTTAAATTGTTTGCTCTTACAGTGAATATATTGTTTGTTGTAAATCACCTTATTATTAATCGTGTTGTTGTTAATATTTCTGTTGTTGTGATGAATACGTCTAGCTTTCAGTGGAACTTATTATTATTTTTTTAAATTATTTTTATTGTTATGAACGTTGTTGACGCTGTCGTATTATNGTTGTGATTGACATGAAATTTGTCCTTTATGGTGAGTGACTGTTGTGTTTCGCTTCATTTGCATTGAATTTATTCCGAGCTTCTTGTGCCTTTCCTCATCCACTGCATTGTGAAACGCGTTGAAAAGTTTATTCAGTGGTAGCGAGAAGTTTTCTTCATTGGAAACAGTTTTAAATTTACGTGATCATAATCGACTAATTTGCTGTCGAAACATTTCGAGTAAGATAGATTGATATGCTGTGGTTGGTGAAATGAAGTGATGTATCTCTCACATTCCAATTCCTCATTAACTTTATCTGCTCCTTTATTGTATTGATGCTGTGCTTGATGATTCGTCACACTGACCCTTCTTACACGAATGCTGTCTTCAAATGGTTGTGATCTGTATCTTTTCTGATCGCATTGCTGGTGTCTGTAGTCTAATACTGAAAGTAATTCTACACTTTTTCCATTAATTTTTAAAATTGTTCAAGTCAATAATCCTTTCATTGAGTTGAATCTGAAATGATATTTTCAGATAAGCAAAAACCGAAAAGTACGTTATTAGGTTACTGTCTCGAAAAATTTTATTGATGGTTGGAAATTGTCACTGTAAATAAAAAATCGTAATTTGTTGCTGTCTTCTGCATATATTTTCCAAAAAATTCATTCTTTTCGTCATAAATATGTGCATAACTTATTACGTCAATTCGCCAGAGACCAATTCTAGTCACTTTCACTGCGGTATCTTCAATTATAAATTAAAGTTTTTCGGCAGTAAAACTTTCTTGGTGTTTGAAGTGTACAAGAGAATCATACTCGAAATCTGCAAATAATCTCATTCAAAATATCTATTCTGATGAATAATAGATTGAAAAGGAGAGCAAGCTTAAGAATGGAACGAGTACAGTGAAGTACTTCTCTGGACGGAAGAGTTTTTTCAATGAAAAAAATCATGTGATTCTGTATAGTGATCAGTTCGAACTGGAGCATTATTGATTGAGTATACAGAAGAGTGTTTTCATCATAGGCTTTCATATTTTGATGTGTATCGTGTCAAGGTAATCAGAATGCCGAGAAGTCGCTGAAGAAACCATGATATTGCGTGTTAATGAGCTGTGCTTGGACATGATCTCAAATTTCATGACGAAGATCTTCTTAGTTACAAATTCCACTGTCAGGAATTCTGCGCAGAATTGATTNAGTGCTGCTTTGTTAGGTGAATACACTCCAATGTCAATTATACATCAGTATTCGATGGATTTGTCAGAAGGAGCCTTCGGGAGTGCAGGAGGCACGCACCTCTGCACTCCTGCCTCCTCGTGAAGGTCGGAAGAAAAAGGAGAAAGAGGAGATGAGATGAACGAAGGGAAAAGAGGAGGAAATGAGTGAGGAATTGGGAAAAAGAAGGGAGAGAAGAAAGGATGAAGGAAAGAAGGAAGAAAAATTAAACGCCTGAAGATTCAGCTGAAAATTTTTCTGAATCAGATCATTTTGTGCCCTTTCCTCGTGAAAAATTCTTGGCTACGCCATTATCAGAAGCAACTGTTATATCAGAAAACATATTCGATGTTTTTGAATGGTTATCTCTTATTGACAAGATATCTAAATTTTTTTCCGCGTATTGTCCAAATAATGTCAGATTGTTTCATATTTTGGCTAATATCAATTTCACACTGAAATCATTACTGTATTCACTGATGAGGTTACGTTATTTGGCGATTTCTAGGCGAAAGTTTTCTCGAATATGCCAGCAGCACTCGTTTTTTCCTTTTCAGTTGCTCGTTTAACTTTGCCAATTCAACTTCCTTTGTGGTTCCACCCAGTCACCAAAAACTGATCATCCATATACCTCTGATTTTTCCAGATCTTTTGCTATGTTTTTATGATAATTCGTTTAGTTTCTGCTAATGAATAACAACATCATGATAACAGATGCCATGGTAACGTTGAGAATGCTCTCATTGCTTTGGTGTAGATTAATGAAGATAGAAAGAGATATTTTAAGTTTTATTATTTATTGGTGTAATTGAGTTGAAAATTGAAAACTCGAATTCGCAAACAAAGATGAGTAGAACGGAATTAATGGATTCACAAACAGTGGAAATGCATCAGTCATCTCGCATTCACGAAAACCTTTTGCAAATGGATTACTTTCGATTTTCAGCTCCGTTATCTGAAAAAATTACATCATTACGATTGCTCTATAGCTGTGAAAATTGCTATAACAAAACATATATCACTGATTATTATGATTNAATGTGCACGGAAACGCGAGCATTGTGGCCAGCAACGTTACAGGCGTTTGATAGCCTGGCCAATCCAGGTAATTATGATTATGATCACTACTATTATTACTGTCATCATTTGTTCCGAATTATCGAATGAATTCTTAGCAATAATATTTTTGATCTGTCCATTGTGCAATAGTGATTTTTTTTGGATTCGTTTAAGATAAGCAATAATAAGGCATACTGTTGAAAATAACCTCACGAAGAGACCCGTAGCGAGAGGATGAGACTCGAAGGAACGAACTGGGAATTTGAAATGTTAAGGGGATTGTTTGGAGAGAGACTAGCACTTCAAATTCGGTCCGTATGAGAATTTGAGGGATCAATTCCGAATTTTCTGGATAGTTAAGTTCCGTATAGCATTACATGGTTGCCAGCCTGCTTGACTGATAGTAACGAATGATTTTGAACTCACTCGATGATTTTGATAGGCCGTAACAGCCATGAAAGCTGTATTCGGAAACGAGAATGAACGGCACTTCAAACCCTCGCCATGCTTGGTATGCAATAAAACATGGATATTTGGCTGGTAGCGGTGCATCGAATTCACAATTATCTTCAATAAAACCAATCCAGATTACATTCTCATCTGCACAAAATCATCATTTTACCGTTACTCTGTCAAATTTATGTCACTACACCCACTGAGATCTACAGTGACCAACAAAGACCAACTTGACAATTCGAAACCTTCGATCAATCTTTTTTTTCAGTGAATTAATAAATCTGATCATTTCGACCATTTGATTAGAATTTCCACGTTAATGATTAATAGAGGAAAGTTAGACCGCCTTCAATTCTGACAACAATAATGTACTAACACGGCGAAATGTGCATGTTATCGATTATCACTTATCAATTATTCGAATATGACTTTAATTATCGTTTCTGCAAAACCACAAGCAGAATCAATATCACCGAACTCGCTGAATTACTGCGATCGATTGTTTTTTCTTTTGTGTACACGAGGTATAACCTATTGAAATCATGAACTGTGTTCGTAGCAAATTTCGATGGAATTATCAAGGTATTTCAAATGAGCTAATTCAACGCACATGTCCGTTCTGATCGAGTTGATTATTAGTGAGTTTGATCTTATCGAATGGTATCGTTTGTCTCATCCAGTGAGCGCCTAATGCTGGTGAATCCGAATGTACATGTACTCTAGACGGTAATTCTGCTTCACCTGAAAATCTTGGATTAAGGAATCCATTCTTGATCGATAACTTTTCGTGCCATATCAATTAACAACTCCATCTTTCCATGTTTTCTTTTGGGTATCTCTTTGAGAGGTCTACATTTGTTTAAAAAATTTCGTTAAAATTCGCTTGAATTGTTGTCAATTTTGTTGAGTTCTGAACTATTCAAAGATCGTTTCAATCCTATGATCGAGAGTTGGCTCTTCATTGGCATTTTTTCACCAATAGCTGCTCATCAACCACTTCACATCCCTCTCTTTCCATCATATGCGCTCGATTGTAAAGCATCTGCTATCGTATACTTCAAAGAGTGCTTAATGTTTATTTATGTCGTTAACGAAACCAATAAAATTGGGTAATTGATTACGATTCTGTGTGTTGATTGCTTTCCGTTGATGCAAAATACACCAATCAATTCGCAATAATTTTTATCCATTACTAAAATCGCCTCTCTCAATTGATTCTTGGAAACGATAATATCCTTGAAGTATCCTTATTCTTTTCTTAATACCGTATCACTTCATTTTCATATCACGCTTTTTCAGTGTCTAGCTAGACCTTCCAGCTTTCAGTTTTGACAAGCTCTTTGAATGATTCTTCTAAGCTCCATTATCGTCTGAGATTCGATGATGAAGTTATTAAAACAATGTTGCTCAACAATTAATCATCACTTATTTGATCAGAATCGTGTGAGCGTCAGCTTACACGATTTAACATGTTTTTATGATTTTAGCACTGTTTGTGAAGCCGTGAAGCCTTTAGTGACGCAATACTGTCTGCCTCCCCCCCTCCCCTTAACCCTTAATCCGCACCAAAATCCAACCTTGACTAAACGTCTGATAATAAAAACAATTTTGGTTTATCATGCACCAGTTCCAGTTTATCACTTAAAGTCATGCAGTCATTCGATTCGAACATTTGTGAAAATCAGAATTGAGAATGAAATTCAAATTAAGTTTGCAGTTATAAGCAAACGTGCAGAAAGGAAATTCATCAAGTATCGTCAGCAACTTCAAATTATTGAATCATATCGTCGAGAAAACCAGATTGATTGGATAGGGCTACCTTGACAGGAAAGTATTCGTGAACATGAGCTGGTCAAATCGATCACCAAAATGAATGTGATGAATATGATCACCGTGTATTCAGATGCAGCATTATCAGTTCACAAGGAAGACCCATTATTTGAGATTCTGAGCTGATAAACGGAGAACAAAAGAGCAGTTAAAGGGAAGAAACGAAACCTTGCGAAAAGAAGCGTTATAATTTAGATTGGATACTCCAGTGATGATTAGTGACAATGAATATGTTGTTTTTGGAAGTATTCAATGAAATTCACAGTAAAACAGAAAATGATCGTTGTTGTTTATCATCACATTTTTTGCACTACAAATAGTTGATGAAATGATATTAAACTGGAACACATGTCATGTGGCTGAAATATAGCAGTATATCGTTGAGTTCTTTAGAATTTTGCTCATTTATGAATCTTCTAGAATTGTTTTGATAATTCGACAATTTCATTTGTAATAGGAGTCGTATTATTATGACAATCAAAAGTTTTTATGAGTGGCGTTATAAATGACAGAAGAAATTTGAGTGCAGAACATTCTGTGAATGGGATACGATAATTTGATGAAAACATTTGATTCGAAAGTATCAAAATCAAACGATCATCAAATTTCTTGATATTCTCAACCAACATGCTTAGGCAAGAATGCTTCAGTTCAGATCCGTTCAAGCAACTTATCAGGCTTAATGAGATCTGTTTCATATGAGACATAACAAATGATCACATAAAATGCTGATGTAAGCAATTGGTGTGTTTGACTGATGAATAATAGTCAAATTCTGTTGAATGAATCTTATTGAGATCAGAACTCACGTCAGATGACTAATACATTTCAGTTGCATGATGATAATAATCATATTGTCGGCTAAACGAAACTAATTAGGTATACACATGTTTCGTTTCGTCACTTTTTTGGGTTTCTGATGGATGAGGTAGGGTTTTGCTGGATATCGTGAGAGCAATTCACTTCCGCCGGCACAGGTGAAAAACACTGTGTTCTTCATTTGATAAAAACATAAGATTGTAATAGCGATTGGTGCAAGAAACCTTATTTTAGTAAATAATCAGAATTACTTGAAGAAGGAAGCGGGCATAGCTATGCAAAAACTGCAATTATAATAATGAAGTCGAGCATAATCCTTGCAGCAGTCTTGCAATATGCAATAACTGTAATTATAACAGCCAAAGCAATAAGCAATAATTATAGGAGCCAAAATAATGCTAACATTAGTCAAAACATTCACAATCCTGAGGGTAATAACAGCAGTCATAAGAGAGAATGATAANTTTAAAGACTCAAAAATTTAGTTCCACACATCAAACAGCCTCAATTTTAAAAAGTGAACGAACCGTCCGGTTTTGGTCACGATCATTTCCGTACCAAACGAATGAAATTTGTTCCAAAGAGTTGCACCCTCTAATCGTAGTCGGACGTTTTGAAGCGCCTCGTGATATTCATCGACGGGCGATTCATCAGAATGCTTCCGTTTCTTACAATTCTCATTTGACGCATCTGATTTTGCACATTGTTGTCCTGTCTGATGTTGAGGTGATGATGTTTCGGTCAACGTAGCTTGATGATCATCATTTGTTAGTGGCTGTTTGAATACAGTATCACCGATCAAATAGTCAATTGAAAAGCGTTTCGACATTGCTTGTTTGAAGAGACAAATTGTATCAATGAAGCGATGTTGATAAACTGATAATTTATGACGAAGTTTCAGTGTTGATGAGTATAATAAACTTATGAACAGATGTTGCTAGCGTGAGCAAATCGAATCTCTATCGGATACAACTTCAAGTTGAAGTTGAAGAAGTTGGAGCTATTCGAATGGTATTCGTTTTGTGGCTGCTTAATCGGAAACCTTAGCTGTAGTGACGATACAAAGAACATTGTGGTTTTGAGGTTGCAGTTTACGGTTTGGGGTGGTGCTGTGCTATGACGAGATGATTTTCGTTATTTGATACGTTTAAAATTGATTTGATTTTATTGGATCTGATGATGTTGATGCGTATTTGTGTAGTTCAAAGTGTTATTGACACGTGCAACATTGATGCGCATATAAACGAACATTTATTATAATAACAGCTTTCGAAAGAAGATTTATCTTAGTTCACATTGAGCAGATACAGCTACAAGCAGCAGCACATCATAACGAACACATCTGGTAACAATATTACAGTAATTATTACCCTCTCATAGCACTTTTCATCTATCGCATCTCACATCGGTTGATCGATACCGTATGATTGATGATCCACACAGTGAACATTTATCAACAACGTTCAAACGCCATCATCAGCAATCAACCGTCTAACTGAAAACCTTTCATTGAATCGTTGTTTTTTGGTTTGCACATATGTCGTATGCATTCTCGTTGCTATTCTCACTTCTACATATTGCTTCAATAATGCATTCGGATGGAGTTGATGAAACATGTCGAAATTGTTAACGACGAATACCTTTCATATGATTCGATTGCACCTTCCATAAGCTTTCTTTTAGCGCTGAACACGATTAACGTTTCTAATGATGCGTAGTCTGCTGATTTGTCTACTCAAATGGTAGGAATAATGAGTAATATCGAATCGTATTTGGAATGTTCAATATCCGTAGACCAAAAAATGCTGAACAGACCTAGGCGAAAAGATAAGCATTCACCTGTTAGTGCCGCAGTAAATTTGTAACTTCGCAATGTTTGAATGAATGAAAGAAGAAAGTATTTTACGCTCTCAATTTGTCCAAGTTCAGAAGTACTCATTTTGATGAATAATGAACAAACTTAAACCAAGGAAGAAGAGGCAATATGGACATTCAAAGTTTCAGGAAACTATCAATCATGAACAGAAAAAGAGGACAAGAAGTGCTCTACTAGATAATGCAACGGACCAAACTGTTGTCTTGCAGAGGTAAATCAATTTGACAATTTCAGCGGACGATTGACCGACACTTCATGATCTCACTCATTAATTCAGCTTTTTAAACGTTTTTCTTCATTTGATGAGAACCAGAATATGATCTCAGTGATATCGTCACCATCAACAAATGTTTGATTGTTTCTTACTTCCAACCTAACAGATGTTGATTTTTCGTCGGTCGACCTCTTCGCTAGAATTCGAAATGTGAAGAGTGAATCTGAAATGCAATAAGATTGTTTTGAGCAAAATCATTTCTGCATCCGATAAGTACACTTGTCGTTGGCTACAGCCGTTTCGAATTAGTGAACATGCGAACACGTAAAAACAACAACGATACTTCAGAGAAAATTAGCGATTATTCGAGAACGGATGTATAATAGGTGGATGAAATGTTTCTTTCCTCTGACGTGTTCATAAGAATGCACTCCACGCTTTTCATAACCCACATATTCATTTGATGTGCTATCTTTGGAAACGTTCTTCTTTTCATCCACTTGAAATTGTCTGAACTTTGCAAACTTATTTGCTAAGGTGGACAAATGCGGAATTCAAAACTGGGTATCACTTCTTGTAAGTCAGTAGTTCTAAGAATGATATCGAAACTGAACTCAAGCTAGATTCACCGGATAGTTTTATTATTTTTTTGTGAGAGGTCTCAGGTGTTACATTCAGTTATTTCTATTTTTATTGTTCAACCGATTTTGTCCCATCCTAATTCAACGTCTTTATTGTTGTTTTTCGTTCAAAAATCAGTTGGTTTCATCAAGAAACTCTCATGATTTGGAATAATTAAAGGGTTATTAAGTTGTCAGTGTATCTTTTCAAGGTACTGGAATTAGCCTTAAATGATCATAAAAGATGCATAACCACTACTAACTTGTTTAATCAATGTTTTAAATTATCATTTCAAATCAGGTAATATTTAAATTACTTCAGAGAAAGGCACGATAAAAGAATAAGTTATACAGTATATTCGCTAGCGGATGGAAAATGAAACTTTTCGACTATATGTATCCTTTCTGGCAAGCATCCTTCCTCACATTCTTCAAATGGTCCCCTAAACTAACATCACTCTTTCTGCAGACGTTATGAACTTGAAGTAACCGTACCAGTAAAGACTGAAGTCTCATCCATGGAAGCTTTCATAACTGAACACTGAATTCGGAAGGCAATTCCCTTCAAGCCCAGAACAGCATATGGGTCTGTTCATCTGAAATCTTTCAAATGACTCTACCATCCATGGAAGAGACCATTTGCATATGAAACATACTGCATGTTACAAGAATACGGTATCTTATGTCAACTTCAACTGAATACAAAACATTTATCCTTCTATTGTTCTACTCACAGGGTAATAATCTTTGCGAGTGTCATTTTACTTTACAGTTGAACAATATGAAATATCGGCTATAATATATATGCATATACAATTCAATATTATACGAGTAAAAATTGAGATTAGTGTTCGTAGGTGTGCACAGTGCCTCTACGAACACTGGTCTCAATTGGACTTCGACGTGAAGCCATTCCTCGATATTTGCTCATCAACGGGCACTGATTGGAACAGTAGTACATTGAGGGATAAATTTGGTTAGCTCACTGGAAAGTTGGGTTATCACATGGGATTTGATAAACTAAAAACAAATAAAGTTAGTATTTCTAACAGATGAGGAAATTTTTAATGAATATGACAAATAGCACAAGTGAAAACTATTCAAAAGAATGCTCAAATGCAATATTTGCATACAGACATATTTGAGTGGTAACATTTAAGGAGAGATCAATCAGTGCACCTTAACGAACACATCAACACGAACCATCGAAGTCATTACAGCTACACGACGAAACGTAGTAACGAGACACCCGTATGAAAATATGCACATATAATGAATGGACAGCAAACTATTTTCAATGGGACACACCAATAGCCATTATAGATCAAAGAAACACTTCTGCGATATTTGAAACGGTTACAATTCACTTACACATTAATACGATTGCATTAACAATCGACTGTATCATACAAAAAAACATCTAATCTAACATCATAAAATTCTTATGAAGTACAAGTAATATAAATGACTACATCATATCAATATCATGCAACTGATGTTATGCTGTAAGTTGAAACAATACATTTGAGTAGGAACAAATCTCTACCATAAATTCCAGTAGAAACAGACCAGTGCATTAGTTGAGAAATCAAAATCAAACATCAGACGCTGAAGATAACATAGCGATGTTGTGGCTAATAAGATAACTTTCACTGGAAACTGCTTCGTTAAGTGAATAAAATGTGCATTTCGGAAGTACGCTGATAATTTCTAAGAAGTGATTTAGGCTTATCATCCCTACAAATAATTTTCCACCTTCCTCTTCACTACGCTTTTCAATATGCTTGGAAAGGCACTGATGAAGCGATTTGAGGAGAAGTGCGGTATTATAAAGATGAGCACGTGAATTAACTGAAGTAGAGAGAGTCGCGATCAACAAGTAATAAACCTTACGTATTTATGTAAGCATACCGTTAACGGATAGGAACAAGTAATTATGAACCACTGCATCCGATGTCATCAAAGAATACGACGACTAAATTCATAGATGTAGGGTGCTCGAACTTAATTTTTTACAACTGCAAAAGTCATCTGGATACACTTCTGAATGTCAATAGATTAGCTACACAGAATGAGGCAAATCGAGAAAAAAATATAACAGACTGCGAACAAAGAAACAAAACTACATTCCGCTTTCGGATGCTACACAATAATAATACAAGGCAACGGAAATGAAGGTAGATAGATCATACAAGGACACAACAATTCTATTCAAATACTACAAGTTTGGACGCTGAAAATATAGTTACATAAATTTCCTCAACCTTAATTCGATCAATAACGATAAAGACTGACAACAATTCACATAAGCAGTTAGTGTTTTAAACTAAAGAAAACAAAAAAATCATAAAATGAGAATGATCAATGCCTAATAGAACCGAATGGCAAGTTTATGAGTTTTCATGAGTAAAGCAATTACGGTGATATTAGCTAAGCAGTAAATTATGTATATGCGGAATTAATGATTACTTTACTTACAACCGAGCAAACATAATGGTTTCAAACACATACAAAAACAATTTCGCGATTTTAATTTCGTAACACATACAACTATACGACTGCATACTACAAATCACTGGAAGGACACATCAAGGAAGAAAAAGCTCAAAAAGATGTTCAGATCCATTGCATTGAAATTCCGGTAATTGGACATCAAAGTACCGATCCCACAAAACTACCAATTCTAATCAAAAAGTTTCACTTGGAGGAGAATCTGCTGTTTTACCACATATTACTCAGTCTTTCACAACGAAGTACCGATTAAAACTACACTTTTAAATTTCCACAAAATTCCCTGGATGAATCACATCATTCGGCTTTTATCATATTACTCATTATACATAAATCATTCAATAAAATATGCATACAAAAACAATAAAATAGCAATAAGACAAATAAAATAATAAATCATCAGCCATGATGCCCTCTAATTGCATTTATAAATCACGACCTACGTAAATAATACAACCGTATAACATTACTAACAATAAGTTGCAAATGAACCACACCAATCCGTTAACGATTCGTAAGTTTCCTCCATAATAATATCAATCGAATGCTGCAGTAAGATGGTTTGCCACATTAAACTATTCGTATCCATCACAGATCGTTCTCAAGCACACGCTTCCACTTCAATACCTCGGTATTTCGGTCGCGGTTTATTAGCGAAGAGCATATCTCGAGAATAGAAGAAGCCACGATTCACCCAATGACCGTACACTGAGAACACTGTTGCCTCGGACTCATGACGAATCTGAATAAACGATTCAACAATACAGTTGTAAATTTTGAAACGGCTGCACATCTAACACATAGATTTCCGAACGGATAAAAGAGAACTATGGAGAAATCTGCGAACGGCGGAAAAAATGGGAAACAGTTTTCCCTTACGCAGTATACTTAGGGAACTAACTTTCGCTTCCAGCGATAAAATTTCTATGGTTAAAGTGAGACTACAATCGAGATCGGTTGCTAAAAATGAGGTATAACGAGTGAGAGAGGGGNAACACTTACATCACGATCTCTAAACGGTCTCAGTCGCAGTTCCTTACGATCGACCAGAAGTTTGAGATATTTAATATTTGTGAGACGTATGAAGAATCGCACCAAAATTATCGCATGTCTCCACAGATAACGATAATTACGTTTCGGAGGTTCCTGATTTTCACCAGCAGCAACAATCTGCATTTGAAAACGATCATTTCTCGATAAAAGATTAATTTGATTCCTTGAGAGCTTCCTGGCTAGCTCTACCCGCACTAGTACCATCGTAACCGTTCGATAATTTCTAACACACATTTTCAAACTACTTTCCTTCTTGAGCACACGATTTCGCGTGACTGATTACGAGCAGTGAACCGGTGTGGTTAGAAAAATCATAATTATTGGCTGCTTTATTCACTGTCGATGAATGAGCTGTAGCGTGAAACTCTTCCATAACACAAAATTGACTAATGAGTAACAAGACAGCAATCAACAGACCGATCATTAGTCATTTTAAAAAGTCAACCAAATAATCGAAAGATCGAATAGAAAGGGATATGTCTTACTCTGATCCCTGCAGCGGTCAACATCCATGGATGGCGAAGGCACATTGCTGCAGTATAACGTTGCTCAACATCAACCACTAGGATATGCTTGATCTAAAATAAATACGCATCGTGATTCAAGCAATTCAATCACCAATGCGAACTAAATTATCACAAACGGGTGCCAATGCTTATGGGTTTGAAGTAAGAAGCTATTATACGTCAAGTTCCATCACGTTCAATTTATTTTCTTGCAATTTAATAAATAAGTGTGAGAACGAAAACAAATTTAAAATAATAATATCAACGAACCAAATCTTTGGCATCCGAAGTGATTTGTGCCCATTGCTCTGCACGAAATTCATATTTTGCTTCTTGGATCATCCTCAGCATAATCAGTTGACGTCGATGATAGAATGGTGCATAGCCAGCTAATCTGAAAGCAAAACATTTGAAACGTATTATACACATACATCTTCATAACTGTCATTTATCATATGGAAACGTTACCGGTCAAGAACAAAATACGTTACTTTCTCGAATCAAATAGGGAATTGCGATGTGACAAGTAAAATACTCAGTTGACTAAACATGATGATGTTCTCTTACAAAGTATAGAAGATAACACCAAGAGCCCAATTATCCACTTCTACGCCGTACCCCTCAGCGTCTTCGTACATCTGACAACGCAAAGTTTCAGGTGCCAAATAACCAGGTGTTCCCAAAAGCTCTGAAACGAGTCACCTCATAGAGACATACATACATTCATTACATGTAACCTCAAAACTTTCGATAAATTAACTCCACACCATGAAAAAAGTTTGCCGAATTTCTGTAATCTTAATGAATGAGAGCAATCGTCACCGAAGGAAATAATAGAATCGAACGAAACGAAAACCTTTCAGTTTTTGTCCAGGTTGAAGTTGTGTGGCGAAACCGAAATCGCTAATAACCACTCGCTCGTCATCTATACACAATATATTCTCCAACTAAAGGCAATGAATTATTCCAGAAACAGGTGAATTTATATTATGATACCACTGGCCATTATGAAAATTCAATGAAATTAATATAAAATGAAATAAATTCAGCAAAAGCATTACGATGATAACTGCACTCAGTAACCTTCAGGTCCCGATGTACAATATTCCTCTCGTGCATAAATGCGACGCCATCGAAGAGTTGTCGCATAAGACGACGCGCCTTCTTCTCGCTAACCGTCACCGATTTGTTTAACATTTCGAACAGTTCACCGTTCGGTGCCCTTAACAAATCAGATCAACATTGTAAATAAGCATCTGATTATCGCCAC